CTCTCTTCCTGCCTCCTCTCCGACCAGCACCAAACGCGCCCCTTCACTCCAGCTACAGACTCCTCACTATTCTATCACTGTGTCACAGGCTGTCTCCACCGTGGTCCTTCCTCCCCTCTGGGACGCTGTTCTCTCTCCGCCAGCTGAAGTCCAGTGTGCCTTCAAAGGCCTGGCTCAAATGCCACCTCCTCTATAAAGCCTCCCACTGAGCCTTCCACCTCAAAGGGTTAACTACTCGCTACTGGATCTCCCATAACTTTGTCAAAAGCCTCCATCACGTAGCACTTATCATGTTCTATTACCTACGGACCTCTCTTCCCCATGTCTTTTGCTTTGTCTTATCCTACAAATGTCTGCAGGAGAAACAAATCTGGGCAAGTGTTGCTGACAAAGCTCTTTTGGTAGGTGCTAGGAGAGTTCCCTGCCCCTCCTTGGACAAGTCAAGTTTTTATCAATCTAGAACATTCACCCGAATCAATGATCTCGGCTTCCCAATGTCACCAATGAGTGCTGTACCATAGCAGAGTTCTTGTGGGGGACTCCTACTTAGCTTGACTACAGACAGCAGACAAAGGCCCCTCCAAACATCAGGTTCTGTTTATTGGACAACTACTGTGCATTCCATACCACTCCATGAGCCTTGGCCCTGGCTTTGGGAACTTTCCAACTACCCTGAGCACATCCCAGGTCTCAGCTTGAATTGCTGGGAAAGAGAACCTCAGAGAAGCATTTTTTCCACCCGGGAAAGATAAAGTGATCAGCTCTCCTCCTCCTACAATCTTGCCAGGTCAGACAGATGCAGCCCGATCATTGAGGAGCTGTGTGATCTTGATAAATTGCTCAGCCTTTCTGAGCCTCAGATAACTTATGAAAAATGGGGTTATCAGAGACTTTCAAAGTTGTTTGTTAAGATTCAATGAGATATGTGTGAAAAACACCTAAAATAGTCACGGACATGTATTATTCATTCAAAGACTAGAACCTTTCTCTCTCCCTTTTTTTCTTTCCTCCCTACCTTCCTTCTTTCTCTCACTCCCTCTCTCCATCCTTCCCACCCCCCGCCAGAGCCTACCTTATGGAGAAGTAAACTTATTTTAACATATCGAAGATTGGACCGATAAGGATCCAATTTTATTATTATAATCATAAAATACTGACCGGTCCTCAGAGACCCCCTTAGGAATGACTGCAGACCATGGGATCGAGGACAGCCCATGCAAGCTTCTTGGACTCGGTGCTTACAATTTCTTGGTCAGCCCCTGGGCTGTGCATCTGTCTTCTCAGAACGTGGTAATCACAGAGCAAGTAGGAGAGCTAAAGAAAGAAGCAGGCAGGGTAGGGCTGAACCACATGAGTGATGCTGTGAAGACTTCAGGGAACCCGCGAAAAGACCAGGAGGTGGGCGAGGCAGAAGGACAAGCTGTCTCGCCCTCGCTGGCATTTAGGGGCAATTATGACCTATTAATGGCTGACATCGTCGCTCTGCCCTGGGAGTCTGAGCTGAGCCAGGGCAGCCCGCAGATGTGCTCGGCCCACAAATATGCAGTTGGCAACTCCTGAACTTTCAGTGACTTGACGCCAGCTGATCTGATCGGCAATTACGTTTTATTTTGGGGCCACGGAGACAGCCCAGAACCAGGAAAATTATAAGACATCAGACTGCAGTTTTTCTAAGAATATCAACTACAAACTTTTTTAACCAATTGTTGTTTTAATGGTTAGAGGTTTACAAGGCACTAAAACAAAAAACCTTGGACACTAAAATCAGATTATAGCCAATTTTCCCAAGGGTTTTAAGCCTTGGTCCAATGAAAATCTGGGTGTGATTTTTCTTGGAGGGGGGAGGGGAGATGGGGTAATTTTTGCCAAGAGAATTTTGCTGGCGACAATGAGTACAGCATAGAGATAAATGGATTTATAGTTTGTCCTGGGTTTGAATCTTTACTCTGCTTAGTAGCTGTGTGACCTTGAGCAAGTCGTAAAACCTCTGCCTCAGTTCTCCCATGTATAAAATGGGGGTGTAATGCCTACCTTGGGGCTTGTTATGAGCATTCGGTCTACAGCAGGGGTCCCCCACCTTTTTGGTACCAGGGACCAGTGCTCCTGTGAGAATCTAATGCCTGATGATCACGAGGGGCTGATGCCAGCGCTGGGGAGCGGCCGCAAATACAGATGAAGCTTCGCTCTCTGGCCTGCCGCTCACCTCCTGCTGTGCAGCCCAGTTCCTGCTAGGCCACAGATTAGCGCCGGTCCATGGCCCAGGGACTGGGGACCCAAGTCTACAGCATCAGTACATGGTAACGAGAAGGTGCCCTTCTTGCCGTAATGTTGATTTTCTTATCTGAAATAAATGGTTCCTGTTTTCACTATCATATATCGAACCCAAATAACCAGTTGGCCTCAAAAGGGCAAATGGCATCTCCAGGAGCAGTTTGGTTTCTAGCAATTACAGGAGTTTGTCATCTGCCTCTGTGATAACATCAGTCCAGGCTTAGCAGCTTCAAAAGCTTGGCTGCAGCCAAGCCCGATCAGGTGTAAAGTTTCTAAGTGTCTCATGGACACAAAACCTAACTAAACTCAGCAGGAGTGCTCACTTCTTTCTTCCCTCTTAATGCTCCAGCCCACGGCAGCCTAAATGATCACCAACACAGTTTCTCGGAGAAGCACTCCTGACTGAGCTTGCGTGGGAATGGAACATAATTGCAGCTTGTAAAGGAAACCAGCCTAAGAAAAAACAACCCAGGACAACATCCCGAGGAAACAGGGAGATCTTCCTGCAGGAACATTTTCCTGGTTGCCAGCGAAAGGGGTCAGACAGCTTGCCCACGACATTCTTGACAGAGGGCAGTGACTCAGCCACCTACGCCCTCACAAATGGCTCCCAGCACTGCCTCTCCAGCCCCATCTTCCCTCTCAAGTCCTAGGCTACTGCTGAATGAGCATCTCACCCAGATGGTGCTCATAACACAGTTGGAAGTTAGAGCTGACATGACCTCTACCCAGAAGGGTTCTCTCCTTTGATTCATTTACAAATGGACCAAGCGGGAGTCTCACTTGCCAATCAACTCACTCATGTCGACCCTGGAACCAGACATGGAAGGCTAATCGCACCAGCCCCGCTCACCCTTTTGTGCTCAGCACCTGGCACTGAGCTGCATGCAGCAGGCACTCGTAATAGCCGATAAAGGAGTAAATGAGTGAATGAATCTGAGAATAAAACACCATAGGAGGCACCAAGGAGGGCACATCTTCTCATGCAACCCTGCAAGGGAAAGCAGCCTCCACAGGGTCAAGTGTCTCGCCCACGCTCACATAGCTGGTAAATGAGGAAACCAGGCTTTGCACCCCATCTGACGCTAAAGTCAAGGCTTCCGATTTTGAAGCCATTCTCATGACCACGATAATGACGAATCATGTTTACACAGCCTCTGACACATCTGAGTTATTTCGTCCTCCCACCATTCTGGAGATGGGAAAACTAACCCCTCAAGAGGACTCATCATATAGTCAAGGTTGCGCAACCAGTTGGAGATAAAGTAGGAATCTGAACCTCGGCTTTCATTTTTCATTCACAGATATTTGGGGGCACCCGCTACAGGCCGGGCCCTGTGTTAGGGTTGGGGTGAACAGCACACACACAGTACTGAGGTCTGAAAGCTCAGGCCGGAGGGGCATGTACTTTAGAAGTAGGCTCTTCCCGTGATACCACACGCTGCCCATCGAACTTCCTCAGAAAAGCAGTCGTGCTTCGGCGGGTTTGTTTTTGAAGGGAAAAATGACATGCGAACAGAGAATGTCAACAAGAAGATGGCATCTCAGTACCACGTGTTACTTTCTACATGGCTGACCAGGAATCCTACCTTGGGTCGAAGTTTCTTCTACCTCTTCCTGAGGACAGCGTGCGCACCACTTGGAAGACTTGCCTTTTAGAATCAGACTATTTGGCCACCAAGCGAAACCCCAATATCAAATTCCCTGCTGGATCACAGTATAGAAAGCTTCTGGCAATCTGAGTTTGCAGTTAGCTAGCTCATCTGGCCCAGCCACACTGGAGGGCCAAAGTGGAAGGGCCGACAGGGGAGTGAATTAACCTGGTGAGGCCACCCATGATGCACAAAAACAGGAGTCTGTTTTTCCAGAAGGGAGTGAGAGGGAGAGACAGGGAAGAGTTGTGGGATCAGAATGTTCTCAGGCTCGTCCCTTGACAAGACGTCTGGGAATTCAGCACCTTTTGAGAACCAAGCAACATCTTCCTCCACCACGTTGTACCCTGGTCCACAGACATACTATCAAATAAGAATTTGATAGAAAATAAAGCTCAAAACTATAGCCAAAGAAATGAATCCCCACCCCCCACCTTTCTCAATAGCTATCAAAAGTCAGCGGGCAGGCCACTAATTGTTCTCTCACCAGTTCTCTGCGTTGAGTGCTAATTAATGTTCCCACAAAAGGCCCAGCCTTGGCATCTACACATCAAGACCCACGGGGACCAAGCCTCCCTCTGCTCCAAGATTCCCACAGAGGGCATTTTTCCTTGTTCGGAGCTTACTTTGATAATCAAGTCCGATCTACCATGACAGTCACACAAGGGCATCTTGCCAAAATGGTGCAGCGAAGTGGGACTCCTAGGGCATCGCTGGCCTTTAATAATCGGATGTGGGCCCTGGGTGGCAAGGATCGCCCACACATGAGCCTTCTTTGGGGGTGACTGTGCAGCCCATCAGCTCTGCAATTTCAGAGTCCCATCCCAGGGACCCAGCATCTGGGCAGGTCTGAAAGCTCAGGCCAGCACTACGCCAAGGCACTTCCGTAATTCTAACCACCACACGCTAGAATTTCAGAGCCATTACACAGAGAAAGAGGGATCAAGAAAGGAATCACTGAAGGTAAAATGCCAGGCAGTGCGAGGAAGTTTCAAATCCCCAAAGAACAGAATTTTGGAGTTGTTCATTCCCGCCCCCCGCAAAAAAAACTGATGCATGGCGTTTCGAAGGGCTTACCTGGGTCGGGTTGTAGAGCTCCTGCAGGGGGCTTCGAGACCCCTTCCGGCAGCAGATGTCCACGCCGAAGGGGTTCCTCCGCATGACTGAGGAAAGAAAGCGAAGGCTCATCAGACTCAAACAGCAAAGATTTGTTGTCCGACAGAGAAAAAGGCACAGAGGAGGGAAGAAGAACAAGGAGGGAAAGAAAAGAGAGAACCGGCTTCTAGAAGAAGCTGTAGCTTTTTATCTAACAGCGTCTGGGGCCATTCTGTCTTCCCCAACGTTCAGGCATCTCTACACCCAGAGGACATAAATAATGCTAAAAATTCTTCCCAGCAAACTTTTGAGAAAACAAGACAGGCATCTAAAACATCAAAACGAAGCGACTTAGAAAAGACAGTGTAAAAGTTATTCTAAGAGAGTGAGTTCGACCAACAGCAGCCTCCTCCCTCAACAATCAGTTCCCACCTTATTCCTGGCCCCCAAGCATCTGGTCTCCCCAGATCAGTGCGGGGCCTTCCCCAAGCAGGCTTTTCCCACTGGGTGAGTCAGCAGTCCGACCTCCCCAAAGCCTCTTGTAAATTAGGCCATTTTTAATGCAAGTATCAGCTTGAGGCACCAAGGATAAGGGTTTACAGTTCTATACAGACAGAGGTGGCACTTACAATTCATAAAAGTGGAGGAATTAAGTGAACTTAACCCAAGAGTATCGAAGACACCAAGAACTATTTTTAAATGGGAAAGGATTCTCTCTTTTTTCATTCTCTGGTTCTCAAAACACCTCCACTCCACGTAGTCCCTCGCACAGTGTCTAACAGTCACCTGGTTGATAATTATTTGTTGGAGGGAAGGAGGGACGAAGGGAGGAAGGAGAGAGAGGGTAGAGGGAAGGAAGGAGGAAGGGAAAGGAGAGACAGAAAGAGGAAGCAGGGATGGAAAGAGGGAGAGATGGAGGAGGGAAGACGAATTACCAAGTGGACACGTGCTTTTTCTCAGATCGGGAGGCAATTTTTTCGTGGAGTGACATAGTAGGGGCACGGATAGAACGAGGAAAGCAGATCCTTTCACAAGCCTAGAGGATTCACCCCCTATGTAGTGGCAGTAAAGTCGACAGCAGGACAGTGCCAGGAGCACACAGCCTGGGTTTGGATCCTGGCTCTACCATACTAGCTGTGTGACCTTAGACAAGTTACCCAACCTTTCTGTGCCTGTTTCTTCACCTGTAAAATGGGGGAGAGAACAGGCCCCAACTCCTTGAAGTTGGTCATAAGGATTAAATGAGTTACTACTACTTGCATGATCCTTAAACTGGGTGCCAACCCCCCACCCCCAAATGTTTGTTATAAATTTCTGAAGCTATTAGAGATTATAAACAAGATTTGCACATAATTTAAGACCAAAAAAAAAAAAAATCTCTTGCCCAGCCCCCCACCACCTGGAAGGAAGGTGGTAACTTCTTTATTCTTGAGCCACCAGGTGAGCTGATGAGCAGTTACCAGACCTCAGCCAGACTTCGGGATTCTCTGACAGAAAAGCCGCACAGCCAGGGAGAGCGGGCCAGAAAGGAATAAACCTCTGCGAGAGGCCAACTCGAGGTCCAAACGGTGAGGGTCGCCTTTTCCGCAAGTAGCCAATTACTTCTGGAAAGTCTCTAGGGGAACCACTCCTCATGCAATGCTCTTTTGTCTTGTCACTCTGAGCCACGTAGAAACTTTGAGAGTAAATCATTAATTCCAGCAAACTCAAAGCTGCATTTTCTCTCTCCTCCTTTACTTCCTAGGGCAGGGTCAGCAAACTTTCCACAGAGGGCCAGACAGTGTTCCGGCTTTGTGCCGTTTGTCGCTTCTCAACTCGGCCACTCAGACAATGCAGAAATGAATGGGTGTGGCTGTGTGCCAATACAACTTCATTTATGGACACAGAAATCTGAATTCCAGGTAATTTTCGCATGTCAGGAAATACTCTTCTTCTGATTTTTTTTTTTTTCCAACTATTTCACAAAAACAGGCGGTGGGCCAGATTTGGCCCACAGGCTGCAGTCTGCTGGCCTCTGCCCTAGACAATGACCCCAAGTCTTCCCGGGGGTCAGCGGTCTGAGCCCCAACACACCCTTTGTGGCCCGCAGCCCTCTCTGGGCAGGAGGCGATCTGCAGGCCACTGTCCACACACAAAAGCCATTAGAATCTGATCTGGCTGACGCGGGGAAACACTGGTTCTTTGTTCATCCACGTTTGCCTCGAGAAGAGGAGGAAAATCCACGTTGTGTTTTTCTTTAATTTATTACTTCATTTTTCATTTCCACCCAAAACGAGGTAAACTGTTAAATGCACGCAAGCTGCCCTCAGCACACAACGACATAGCAACACTTCGGAGGAGAAAAAACAGCCATAAAACTTGTAAAATTATGCCCACGCCATGCAAGATTAAACTCTCCCCATGGCGGCAGACAGGCTCACCGAGACCTGTGGCTGCAGGACCGCCATGGAGAAAACCCTACCATGAAATCCATTAAAAGTCAGCTTTTATGGGGGGCAGTATTATTTAATTGGTTTATTTTTCTAATACGAGGCCTTTAAAATGCTTTGACCGTGTGGGGCCTGCAGCATGGGCCCTTTCCCGAGGCCGTCTGCCCTCGGTGTCTCCTCCAGCCCTGCCCGTGACTTCATTGGGTGCCATGTGAACCAGCTTCGGCACCCCAGGCCACAAAAGCCAAAAAGGCCTTGTGTGCTTTTTATGGGAATGATAACAATCCCACCATTTATGGAGCGCTCACTGTGTGCCAGGCACTCGGTGAAGTATAATCCTTCACACGGTGAAGGAAGTACCTGCATTTTACAGATAACCTCTCTGAGCAACGCCCCCCTCTCCCCCACCCCCGCCACTTAACTTCAGGAACTTGACCAAGGTCCAGGCCACGCGGGTGGAAAGTTGCCACGCTTAGACTCAAACCTGACTACTGGGCTCTTCATGTCCAATGACAGCAATGAGGACCTACTGTGTGCCTGGGAGATCAAGGAAAAGCTGGCATAAATTTATGCACTTACGTGTGAGAACACGCGTGAGTATATTTGTCTTGTGTGTGTTTCAGGAAAAATGGCATCCGAGGAGGCTGAGCTACCAACAAACGCAGACGGTGGCAGCTAACATTTAGAGAGCACTCTGGGTGTAATCGGCACAACGGTCCTACCACTACTGTCCCCACTGCACAGGCGGAAACACTGAGGCCAACAATTTATGCACTTACGTGTGAGAACACGCGTGAGTATATTTGTCTTGTGTGTGTCTTAGGAAAAATGGCATCCGAGGAGGCTGAGCTACCAACAAACGCAGACGGTGGCAGCTAACATTTAGAGAGCACTCTGGGTGTAATCGGCACAACGGTCCTACCACTACTGTCCCCACTGCACAGGCGGAAACACTGAGGCCAGGTTAGGGAACGAGCCGAGGTCTCATGACTAGTGAGAGGCAAAGACAGGATTCGGACACAGGAAGCGCATGTTCTCAGCCGCCGCACTGGACCAGCGGTAAGTGCCCAGTCCACCAACCTCTCAATAGGTTCCTCCTGGCCTGAGACCTGGTGGGCTGGCCACTTCTAGGACAGGTGATTTAAAATGTAATCCAGTGCTACAGGACTCATTGAAATGATGTGAAATGATGGCCAAAGCTATTAGCTAACAGTTATACTCTTTCATTTATTTCTTCGACACATTTTTATCAAGCACCTACTAGACGCCAGGCTTTATGTATGTACAGACCCTCTCCCTCTTATCCATGTCGTTTCTCTGGTGCTTGGCACACAGTGGGTACTCGACGAGGTCTGTGAATGATCTAGGATTTCATGCTTCCTGTATATACACACCAGACAGCTTGTTTCCAGCTATATCTGAAGGAAACTGCCAGTAACATCAGACTACTGTTATTTTTTCCTTTGAAAACGAAAGGTCTGATGATCAAAAGCCCTAAGAAAGGAATCCCTGAGGACACTGAACGGTGGCCTTGCACTGTCCACCCACCACAAGATTTATTTACCGATAACATTTGTTTTTTTTTTCTTTCTAAACTCAAATCGATGAAATTCAAGACCATTTTGGAAGAATAGAATTGGCTCAATTTACGGGATGATTTCTTAGACCCAGGAACAGTTCTGCATATTCCAAGGTACATAAATGAAGCTAAAATGAAAATCAAGTCACTTGTGCTTGTTTCACTACGATGACAAGCATGTTGGTTTTCAGCGAATGCCCCACTCCCGGTTAGCTGAGAGCAGGTGACGGAAAGGCAGCTCACGACAGAGGGCTGGAGCCATCTCCTTCTCCGAGTGGCTCCCTGGGACCCTGCCCGTGGAAGGGATTAATAACTCTGGTCTAAAGACATAAAAGTGAAATGCTGTGGAACTTGCCTTTGAATGTGTTTCATAAAACCAAGCGCACTTGGAATTCTGAGGGATTATCGTCCAATTCCTTCAATTCACAAAAGAAACTCAGGATCTTAGGCACTTGCCCAGGGTGGCTGGTAGCAGAGCCAGGGCTGGAATTTGGGCCTTATAAGATACAGCGATAGTTATAATAATCATCACGAGAACTACCCATTTACTGAGGATGGACCGTGTTCCTGAGATGCCCGATACAATGCTAAGCCTTTTTTTCACACTGCTTCATTTAATTCTCATAAAAACTCTGTTAAAATTAATAACGATAATAATAATATCATTTATTTCCATTTTACAATCGAGGAAACAGAAGTCCTGAGAGGTTAAGTAACTTGTCCCAAATCACAGAGCCAGCAAATGACAGTGCATGCAGCAGATTCAAACCTAGGCCTATCTGTTTCTAGAACCAGCGGTCTTTATCACCTGATCATGCTATCGGCATGCCAAAGGCAGTAAAAGTTGCTTTTACAATTCATACTCCAACCACAAAAATCAGTGCTCTGCTTCCCTCCACATTGAAAGCACCTCCATGCTAAATCACCCCGTCCAAATGGGTCTCCGTCCCTTGCACTGGCAGAACAGCTCTATCGACCAGCTGACTTCGGACACTTCCCAAATGTCCTGATTTGCTAACAGCCTGGGCACGAGCCCTCCCTTTCCCCATGCTCTGAGAGT